CTTAATTTTTAGGTATTTTTTCAAAGAAAAATCTTCAAGGTAATTGACTTGATTGTAATTTTGCATCAAAATGCTGTTTTGAGCTTAGAGTAAGTCACTGACTGTAAACCAGTCCAAGCTGACTTGAAACTTTTGGAAGTACAGTTCCTGATTTGAGTAAACTTGGCCTCAGCTAAAAGTTTGCAATGAAATCCAAGGAAATTTGCTACCAAATGTTTCATGTGAGGCATAAGATTCCATATCCTCTTCCTTAACAACCAACTAATCACTATTTATTTTTTGCGTGGTTGTACCAGTGAAGACGTATTAAAGCATGAACACAAACTTTATTTATCTGGACACTGCTATCTGCTACCAATGTCAGTAACACTGCAGATTATGAGCACTTAGTTGGCACTGCCTGCTACTGTTGATAGGATGTGGTCTTTGCTCCAGTCCCTGTACTCTGCATTCAAGCAGCTAATCAGTCTGACCATTTGCTGAGTGACTTGACAACTGCAAGAACCAGATGTTAAGTTCTAGAATTTATTTTTCCAGTAGGGTCACTTAGGTCTCTTGATTTTTTTCCTAGCTAGCTCTTCTTAAGTCTTTTATCTGCCTCCTTGGCTGATTTCCAGCAAAACAATACAGCATTTATAAGTCTCAGTTTCCGCATAATCATCATCTCCAACTGCAATTCCAAGAAGTCCCCTGTGTAATAATATGAAGGTTTTATTTTCCTTGAGAAAGCTGTGAATGAGGTACAGATTTTGTTATGTCAGATACAATACTCGTATCTTGTTTATAACTGTTCAAAAGAACATATTGTGAATCTTCATTCACAGAATTGACATTTCAAATTTATCAGAACAGGATTTATACTCTGATGTTGGTACAGCTACAAAAGTTATCTCTGATGGGTGGAGAAACAAGTTTGTCTTGGGTGGAGTGAATCCATCTGTGTCTCCATAGGGAGCAAAAAAAGGACAAGAAAACCTGGGATAGCCTTCGCAATCATACTGATAACAGTTACCCTGAAAACACTAGGGAAAAATAAATTAAACACTACACTTTTTCCTGGTATGCATTCTTATCCTTTGCTTACTTGCACTCAGAGATTCAATATTAAATCAAACAAATGTGCAATGAATATATATATATATACATGCACATACACACACACGCATGCGTGTGTGTGCACATATATATATATAATATATGTACACTCTATATATGTATATAAACATTTTTAAGAGAGTGCAGTTTTAAATTCCATATATTTTGGTTTTGCATGAAGGAAAGCATGAAAAATGAAAATTGCCTGACATTAGTGAGTCAACACTCACTAATCAATATCTAACAGAATCGTACTTGCACCTGTAAATTACTGCTTCCTTTTTAGCAGATGTATTTCTCTCAAGATTTGGATTACAATTCTCTCTCTTTCGCAGTTCTGCTATGGAGTACCTAGCTCTAACAATCACCTAAATTACTAATTACTAATTACCCTTTTTATTTACATGATGATACTATATTAATGTACAAGCAGTACCCAAAAATACATTACTAGTTCTTCCAGCCAACCAGACACTGGATTAATTTGCTGGTTCAAATGAAAATCCTGGCTCAGAAAGCCCATTTGCAGAATGTCAGTAGACAGGGTGCACTATAGAAGAACATTGTTAACACCTCACCTCCTTCAAAACTCTTCCCCTTGCTTTCATGTTACTGGTTACTGTCAGAGATGAACTACTGGATAGAGGGTGCTTTGATTTGAATCACTCCGGTGGTACTCATGTCAAAATTTTATGCTTTGGAATCCTACTCTGTTAACATTACCAACCTCCATTTGCACTCCTGGGTTGACAAACCTGGATTTGGCGGCAATTAACAAACCCAAATCATCCACTTATGACAATATCCAAAATTAATAGTTGTGCCATCCTCAAGCATGTCATGGTTGTATAAAGCTCAGAAGACACTGTAGTTACTACTCCAAAGAAATTAAACCCAAGGAGTTAAACCCTTCTCCTTTTGGTCATGACAATTGAGGACTTGGTGCCACTTCACTTGAGTAATCACAGGACCACAGAATCACAGACTCGGATTTATACAGTGGTGCTGGTAGTGACATGCAGTACTATTTTCTCTAAAATACTCCTTCAGTGGCCAGGGTGCATCTCTTCCATTATTAGCATAAGCTAACCCATTTTGCTGGCACAAATTCATGACCATCATGGTTTTTCAAGCCTTGTTAGAGGTTGTTATTTTTCCACATCCATGGCTACCGTAAATGTGCTGATTGAGCAGTGTTAGGCACACCTAATTAATGTCCTTGATGAAGTTGTCCTTTCTCTATGGATGAAAAGATTAAAAGAATTTGAATGGAAGAAAGCAAGTAACAGGAATGAAATATTTGAGTAATGGGTAAAAAAGTCAAAATTGCAATCTCAGCCACCTGAATGAAATATATCACAATAATTGACTAATAGCATCTCTTCATGCAAGAAGTGCTGTGAAAAAAAACCAAACAAACCACAATAAAGATTCTGAATGTTTCTGGCACAGTTCTGGTAATGTTAAGTCACTTGTCTAGTATTCAACAGAATTCAAAAACTACTGTTTGTCTCACTCTTGCCAGCTGTGACTGTCAACGGGGCTCCCAATGCCATCAACCAGATGATGTGGTTTTCAAAACTCAGTTTGAATTCTCCCCAGCAGATTACTTCCCACTGTTGTGTTTGGGCAGGATGGTTTTCAGGGAATTGATTCCTTAAGCTTCAGACAACTTTCATCTCTTTGTTTTCCTCTGTTTATTCCCTCTAGATAAAGAATCAGTTGTGACATTTAAAACACTTGGGTTTAAGATCCCACCATTTCACATAACAGATGGATCATATGTATAAAACTTGCATGACTTTTCTTACTGTGTGTATCTTGAACATTTCTTCTTTCAGTGATGCCAGATCTTTCTATCCTTAGTGCTGCAACAGAAAGTGGTTTTACCTGCATCCTCTTCTGACATGCAAGTGTTAAAGCAGCTCCATGATCATCCGTGCTGTAGTACACAGGGTGTGTTGGTGGGCCACTGAAAGGCAGTGCTCCCCTGATGCCTATCCTTTTCAAACATGCTGTGTCTTTCCCTTATGAGAAAGGGAATTTGGACATGTCTTTGTAAGGAAATTTTCAACAGTGAGTGAAAACAAGCCTCTATCCTCAATTCTGAACATCTGACAGAGCATTCAGACAGATCCTCATTTCCTAAGGGTTGGCCATGGGAGCTCTGGTGACAGTGAGCTGACTGAAGACTTTTCCAGTCTCTTGCTTCTTCTATACCCTCTTAAATTAACACCTTATGTGAAACTGAAAATGCCTAGCTCATCCTGGATTTAATTTCAGGAGCATGCATGTGTGTCCTATTGCGTCTAGGTTTTCTCCAAGCTTGGTGAAGGTCCCGTAACAGAGGTGTGGACTGTCCTGACAGGTTTCTGTCATGGCAGATTTACTGGTCTTAGAAAACACTGTACTGGAAGTACTGGAAGCTGCTAAAATTTGCTTGTGTGACTCTGGTTACATCTCTGCTTGGGTCTTTGCTGGCATATTTTTCTGTTTCCAGTTGATAAGGCATTCCAAACTGAGGCTTTCAGACATCAGGTTGAATTTTCCCCAGCAGATCGTTTGACTTTGCAGTCAGCTGAATATGCCAGCAAAACTTTGATGTTTAGATGATACATTAAGTTTACAGTAGATTGTTTTTTTAAATGTATATCAAAAATATAATACCATCAATTATTCTTTAAAAACTCTTGCTTTTTTTTTATTTATCCGCAAGGTCAAATCCAACGCAACTTTCACTCAAACTGAAGAAGCCATCAGGAACCTTACTTCTTTGATTTTGTTGTTTTAAAATCATCCCTTAAAGACTAAAAAGCTTTCCATATGCTTGTGGTAGCTAGTAGTAAAATACTGTGGAAAAATTTGTAGTATACCAGATAACTTGATGTTGATGGCTATGTCACATATCCACTTTTGGTTAATAAAACAACCTATTTAGCAATTAAGCAATTTGACAAAAGTTTAAAGGCAAATCCAGGCCCACACAGAGTCATGACTTCAGGGGCAAAGGTCCTGGCTTCACTGAGAATGAGATTAACCTCTTAGCTCAATAAGCTTTCAGAAAAAAAATATTCTTGTAAATGTTTTGTTTTAAAAAGTATTTTATAAATAGTATTTTACAGTATCAACAAATACATAAATCTTAGTATTACCTTTGCATTGTATTGGTTTATCTAGAATCTTTTTTGTGTGTTTGTAAAACTTGACAAAATGGAATCAGAACTGAATTTGTGTTGTTTGGCCTTGGTGACAAGGCAATAGGTATTTCCTAAGTCTTGTAGAGTAAGAAAAGAGACAGAGAGAGCATCTAGTATGGCTTTTATTTCAGAGTAGCAGCTCCTGGTATAGTTCTGAAAACCGTGGAAAGTACTTCTTTATTATTTTTAATGGATTGATTCTGAAAATCATGGAAAGTACTTCTTTATTATTTTTAATGGATTGATCAATCTTTTCCACCCATTGCTGTCTCTTAGCCATCAAGTTGTAAGCATGAGCAGCCCTAAGACTGATGCTCCTCTTGGTCAGCAGGCCTTCACAGAGGAAAGGGAAAAGACTTCCCATCTCTGTTCATCTTTCCTTCACAAAGAGGGTTCAATAAGAATATATCAGCTTAAATATAGTAGATACACATGACATGGAAAGACTAGGGCAGATTTATTTTCCAATATGTAAGTGTCCTGCTTGCATTTTGAGGTATAGTAATCTTCCATAAGAGCTGTTTCAGTCCTTTCCTGAGCTGTATTATGCACAAATATCTGCCTTTCCCAAAGTGGACCATATGCAAATGCCAATGGTTAGCCAGTGTAAAAGTCCCACTTTAAATTACAAAAATTATCAACTGTCTTAGGGATTTTCTTCTGCTCTGTGGATGTTAACATGTGCTCTATTCTACTCCCTGATTTCAGGGGCGCTGTGAGAGGAGGGACAGATTCTGCATTGCAAATGTGGCCAGCCCAGTATTCTGTAACTGAGTTCAGCTATTGGGGTTGCAATTCAAAGAACCACAGACAAATTCAGCTCTGGAGCTGATAAAAAATTTCATATGCTATTCCAAGGTATGTTAAGGAACCTATCGTAAACCTGTGAAACAGCCATATATCTTGTAAGAAAGCTTTTTTTAATCTCCAAGATGTCCAATAATTGTTCCTAGATGGTTAGATTTGTGCATAAAGAATGGCCATATGCTTTCAATTAGCATTATTTTGATTTTAGTTTAAAACATCAAACTAAAGTTTCCTGAAAAACCACATCTGTACTTCTTTATCTTTAGTGAACTCTGCAAGAAAGTGGGTGTCTCAGCCTTTTCCTTGTTTAAATTAGAAAAATAATAGAAAAAATCCAAAAGCTTAAATATTTGTTTTGACTTTGCAGATTAAATGAGAAGAAATTTCAGGCTACAGTTATCCACCTTCCTGAACTCATGCATTCTACCTCATTCAAACTCTACAGTGTAGATCTTAAAAACAGGAAAGAAATTAGTTTTCTGGAAGTTGTGCCAGCCATTTTTTCCAGCTATTTAAAGGTAAAGCAATCAGGTTAAATATGTAAATAGTAGTGTTTATATCTTTTTCAGAAAGCTAGCAAGAATTTATATCCTTAATTCTGCCTAAACGGAATGATTACAATTAGAATGTTTACACATTCTGTCTTTGCCAGGTGTGGCTGTCATAGGAAGAAAATTACATGAGACAGGTGTTATTTTATGTCCTGAGTAGGCCACTTTACATGACAGATTTTAGAACTCTCTTTACAGAAAGCAAAACTCTTCTTGTCAGAGAGAAAAAACAGCTATAGAAGCCAATGAAAGGATCCAACTGCTTTCTAAAACTTATCAGGCACTTCACAAAGTGCACTAAAACATGATTTTCACAAGGACATGAAGAATCGTTACTTGAAATGACAAATAAACCAACAAAAGCTTCTCATCCTGTTATAACATTCTTCCAAATTGAACTTCATTATGCACTGGGGTATAATCTTCATTATTTATGAACAGTAAGATGTGATTAATAGCTACAGTGGTATCCATTTAGGTAAGAAGCTGTTTTGTTTGAATCAAAAGGAACCACAAAATAAATACATGTTTTCTTCAAGGGTTTCTATACAATTTTATATCTATTGTATATATTGCTCTGCTGCCCTACCTTGTATTTTATAAAGAGTTGCAGTACTCTTACCTACAGAACAAAATAATAGCTTTGAATTTTAACAGTCGATGTTGACAATGCAAATAACATAAAGCCTTTACTAATCAGAACATCTTGCAATATCCCAGAATAATTATCCAATCTAGGAAGAAGTTCTGCTTGGAATTTTTTATCTTTCTTTATCCATAATCCTGTGGTGGGTGATAGACCTCAGCTACACTTTTAGATAAAGATAGTATATTTTTTAAGAGCAACTTTTATGAGTGGAAGAAGCATTCAATGCTTTGGGCATGCAGTTGAGTTTTGACTGGCTGCAAGAGTTGTTATGTCCATTAAGGATTTGATCCAAAGTCCAGTGAAGTTGAAGGACACTTTTTTAAGCCAAATTAATGATTGAAAGCTTGAAGTGATCTAAATTAAATCTAGTATTTTTGAAAAGAATATTGTATTTGCTTGCTATATTCCTATCAGGACACCATCTGAATTTGTCTTTGTAATTCGTTTTACCTTCTCAGATAATTTAATAATTTTCCATTTATCACTGGCCTTTTAAACTTCCAGAAAATACAGTAATTCTGGCCAGTAACAGTGTAAGTTATTTGTTTTTTCTAGTTATTTTCATACAACCCTCCTAACTCTAAACTCTTTCATAGTTTAAAATTCATAGCTAAAGTTACAAAGCTTCTTTTATCCACTTACTCAATTACCCTGATATTGGAGTGCCTATTAAAAGCAATAAAACTAGTACTGGAGTGGTTGAGACTCCATTTTCACTATGATATTGTCTGTATTTTCACTAGTTATGAGCCCATATTCTCCCAAAAACCCTTTAAAAATTATAGCTTATATTCAGTTGCACACACTAAACTTGATAGGACCGAGTCCTCACTAAAATAAGCAGGAGGAGTTTGCACTGTAACTTTTTAAACACACCTAAAAAAGCTTCTAAACTACCTCAAACCTAATGACTGATCCATGTGCTTAAGAATAACTGTAATATAAGAAGATTACATTAATGGATAAACCAGAATGGATTTTTTTCATGTTTGTGGTGAAGGTCTTCTTGATCATATATGATTCTGCATTATGCAAGGTGAAGCTCTGTCTACTTTATTTATTTTTTTTCTGTGTCTGTGAAAAAAGACATGAATTGAGAGCTTCTTCCTACACATATACAAAAGAAGACCATGCCACTTAAGTCATGGCAGACAAGTGACGGACAAGGCATTTTTGAGATGTTGGTTCATTTTTTCTTTATTCTACTCTGTACTTCAAGTCTCCTTCCAAAAACTAGGAACTTAGAAAATAGGCATATTTATAGTAATAAGAGCTTAGATACCCATCTTGCACATAAATGCCTGTGTTTAGACATCTAAATACCAACAGGTTATGGTAAAAAATTCTTTCTATATTCAAATCCAATCCTATGTAGAAAAAGCAATTTCTGTGGGTGTATTCCATGCAGAAAAAGCAGCGGGATTGCTGTTATGGAAGATGTAAGCACTATGCAAGTGATCATAAGAGACTGTCTGAGCTAACAGAGCTTCATTAAAGTTTAACAATGTGGGTAAGGTAGGTAGGAATGTAGAGGGTTAGTTTATATTGTTATAAAGGCAGCATCAAAATGTGATTTAAAGCAAGTTTTCTACTGAGAATTAAGTGCTACTGTGACCTCCAACTTCCCCAGATAAATAATGGAGCCTAAAAAATATGCATTTTCCTGCATGGCAAGCAATACCTATAGTACTGTTAGTCATGCTGTGATGTTTATTCACCCATGAAGGTGGCAAACTGCTGGCCCACCTTCTGCTCTGTGCCTGCTGCTTGACATAATTCAGGCTTGCATATTCAAGTCCTACTGGCATCCTTTGAAAATAAAATGACACCCTTTACTACATGAGCTTCTGAATAATTCTGCTATCATAACTTAGACCAAACATAGCTAGAGCTAAAGAGAAAAAAATAATAACACATTTTCTGATGTCAGAAAATGTGCATCAAATGTACAAGGAGCTTTGAAAAATATGGCAAAAACTGACTTGGATATGTTATATTTTGTCAGGAGGTCCTTTGGATTTACGTTTTGTACCCTCAGGGTGCTCAGTCACATTGAACAAAGGTAAGCTTAATACAGAGTTACTCTGTTTTCAATTGTATATGAATTAATGTATTAGGTTTCTTAGTTCTTCAATTGATTTGAATCACAAATAAACTGATTAAGAATAAAAAGATTAAAATAGGAAAGTAAAGGAAAGGAATAAAAGGGGGAGGGGGAGGGGGAGGGGGAAGGGAAGGGAGGGGGAGGGGGAGGGGGAAGGGGGAGAGGAGGGGGGGAGGGGGGGGAGGGGAGGGGGGGGGGGTGGGGGGGAGGGGGGGGGGGGGGGGGGGGGGGGGAGGGGAGGGGAGGGGAAGGGAAGGGAAGGGCAGGGAAGGGCAGGGCAGGGCAGGGCAGGGCAGGGCAGGGCAGGGCAGGGCAGGGCAGGGCAGGGCAGGGCAGGGAAGGGCAGGGAAGGGAAGGGAAGGGAAGGGAAGGGAAGGGAAGGGAAGGGAAGGGAAGGGAAGGGAAGGGAAGGGAAGGGAAGGGAAGGGAAGGGAAGGGAAGGGAAGGGAAGGGAAGGGAAGGGAAGGGAAGGGAAGGGAAGGGAAGGGAAGGGAAGGGAAGGGAAGGGAAGGGAAGGGAAGGGAAGGGAAGGGAAGGGAAGGGAAGGGAAGGGAAGGGAAGGGAAGGGAAGGGAAGGGAAGGGAAGGGAAGGGAAGGGAAGGGAAGGGAAGGGAAGGGAAGGGAAGGGAAGGGAAGGGAAGGGAAGGGAAGGGAAGGGAAGGGAAGGAAGGGAAGGGAAGGGAAGGGAAGGGAAGGGAAGGGAAGGGAAGGATTAAGCTATATGATCCCTAGGCCAGCTAGGAAATCAGTAGATTTTGTTTTCTATAAATAAAAGCAAAGAATTGATCTATCTGTTTATTAGGGTAAATACTGTGAGCAAACAATAATTATAAGCAGGAGGGGGGTGGGCAATATTCTTCTGATTTAGACAAATCTAATCCCTCTGAGTACTGCTGAGCTCATTCCATAAGGACAATTATGTGCCCACTAGCACAACAATATAAGAGTTGTCCCTTATCACAGATTTACTGACTCCCAACAATTTTATACCATGAAGAATACTGGTTTTGATTTTTATGACACATTATCAGTTCAACACAGACTGCCTGAAGGATTGCTATATATAACAGCACGCCTGACTTTTCAGTTTTTCTTCCAGGTTGCTGTGAATTTGAAGGAATATCAAGATGAAGAATTTCACCTCATGTGACTGAGACACTTCCAGAGCCATGATGTTAGAATTGGAGTCAAGCCTGTTCAGCAGAAGCATTTTAAAAATTACATTTTATGATGGGCAGTGGACATTATGAGAGCTGGCAGAAAGACAGAGACAGACGTAGGAACAGCAGTATCTGAGAAGAACTTTTGGCAATGAGCCCATACCCAGAGCCAGGCACTGGGGGATGCTCCAGAAGGGATGATTACATGGAAAAGCTGAGAAGCCATGCAAAGGAAAGCACGGCATGGATATCCATGAAAAAGACTGGAGCATTCTGTCCTGTTATCTCAGGTGGGATATCTGCCCAAACATAACAGCTCTGAGCATTCTAGTGAGCAAGATACACATCAGGCAGTAATCCAGGTTTCCTTGGGAGATGGAGAGAAAAGGGCAGTTTACTGGTGTCCATGTAAGCTGGACAACCAGCTCTCGTGAGTGCCAGTTTCTGTGTGTTGGATAAGAAGGGAACACAGCCAGCCAGCTGAGATCACAGAGCTTTCACTGGATGTGGTGAAACTTAACTTCACATCTAATAAAGCTGGGCTGGTGTTTCAAAGGGACAGCAAATGCTGTTCTGGGTATGTTGTGATCATAAGCGTGGGAAGCAGTAGCAGTGCCCAGTGTCTGTCCGTGTATGCAAGAAAACAAATGTAGAACAGTCAGACATTGAGGGAATTAGAGAAATTAAATGGCTTTTCTGAAGGAATGATTACATTTAATGCTTCCCAAATGTCTAGAAATGCCTTAAATTCTCTAGAAAGAGGAAATAAAAGACACTGTCACTAAAAAATTTACAAGCACTCCATGTTTCTGTCTTCTCTGACATGCTGGGCAGTCTATGACCTGGTAGTGCAACCCCCCTGGATATATGGAGTTGCACACTTTTACTTCATACCATTCACCTTTTCTGTTAGTTACTGAAGGATGAAAGGGATGAACTTCTATTACACGTAGTCACTGTTCCTATGGCAATTCTCTTAACACTCATGTGCATAGCACATTAGGATATTTTCTTCTTTTTTAGCCTTCTAGTTCAGGAGACAGTGCCTGTTGTTGCTAGTGGGATGCTATACAAATGCAGCATGAATGACTGTAAATTTCTTTAACATTCAATACAACAGCCTTCTGCTCTGCCTCACAGCTTACTATTTTCTGAAACCCACTGGCAGCCTGGGTTTTTTAGTCTATGACTACACTGCGCATAAAGAGTTTGCATCCTTCTACCTGGGTGTTTGTGCTCTATCTAGATACACAGCAATCCCACAGAATAAACACAGCATTTTCTTTCATCTGTGCTCTCTCTGCCATTAAAAACATTACCATCTTTCTAAAAGATTAACCTCAGGCCACTAAATATTTCACACAGTCCTCATTGCCCTTCCATTGGGAAGATTTGTCACATCCACACTCTGCAGTTACAGATAACAGTGACTGTCGGGTTGAACTAGAAAAAGTAGTAAATACATTGGATTTCTTGCAGAAACATCAGTTCACATCAGTGCTTTTCAGCAGTTGCTACTGTAGCAAAAACAACAACAGCCAGCAAGCAAATTAAAAGTAGTCTTACCTCAGTATGGCACATTGGGAACCTGTTTCCTTGCTCTTCTAGCTGCTGGCCCCATTCTCCTCAGGCAGCACTGACTCACTGGACCAGTGAATATCTTCTGGCCTTTCTAGAGCAAAAAACATAAACTAAAAAATATTTGTCAGACGTGTGTACAGTGATTCCAAATTCTTCTGCTGTATTCTAAAAATGAATGCCAAGTGATCCAAGTGAAACAGATATCTGATTTGCTTCTCCTCCTGTGCTTCTGTCCAGGTGTAAAGCTGGGTCTAAGACACAGAGACATATATTTTGGTCCTTGCATGCACATTGTTATCTTGTAAGTGAGAATTCTCTTTGGTGCTCAATGTTTAGTTTTCCTCACTTGCTTTTAACTTCTTTTAGCAGACTGATTTTCAAGTGTGCAAAGACTTTTGGGCTAAGCAATATGGGTGCAGTAAATATTTTAATAACCCTCTGTGCCCTTTTGAATATTTGGGCTCCATCAGCTAATATATTTGACTTCTTTAGCTGAGCTGTTTGAACTCAATGATGATAACATTATGGGTTTAAGAAAAGAAAATTTCAAAGTAAAAGCACTGAGATTAGCCATCATCCATCAAACAGATAGATAAATATTTGCTGAATATGAATATTTGAAATGCAAAACTAAAAATAACACAGCATTGGGGTGTAGTGTAATAACCATGCAAGAATATTAAAGCCAGAATTTATGAAAAAGAAAAATTACAAACTATACAGCAACACAGGAAAATAAAAAAGGTAAACACAGTAAATAGTGTCGAAACTACAGCTCTCCTTTATCTTTAGGAGTTTCTGTCCTGTCCTACTCTACCACTGAATCTGTACTTGGCTTTCTTCCACACAGTGCTTTGAAGTCTGCATTGATTCAGGATAGTCCCTTACAAACTACCACAGAAAATGTATAAGAGTATTGCATTCATTCTTAAGTCCTTCTCCTCCCTCCCCTGTAGCATTAAGAACTGCAGAATGCAAGTAACTGAGTAAACACTGATAAAACAAACCACTACTGCTTCAAGTGGCTGTTAGGAGAATCAGAAATACCTCGCTGAGCAGCTCATCACTGGCTGGATGTGTGGGTTTGACTGTTCCTCTCCACTCCTATTATTTGTTACAGCCCTTTCACATCCTATTTTAATAAACCCTGTAAGTTCTCTTATGGGGCAGGGAACATACCTTCCCCTGTGCAGTAATGGTATGTTGTTTTTGCGCCTCTTTCATCCCTCCCTTTCTAATGGGAACTGAAGGCATGAAGATATTTCCTGAACCCAGCTCTGTGCCAGTGCTAGCTTGACTTTGAATCAGTTGTAGTTAGTTATTGGCAAACAAATATCAAAACTAAAGGCTAACCTCAAGCAAATGAAGCATCTGCATTCCACTGGCGCATGTGCACACCTTGGTTCTGCAATACTGCAAATCAGATCTGCCTCGGGTTACTGGAGGACAAGATACACTGATCTCTAGATAAATTAGCTCTGCTGAGCTGTGCTCCCTGCAGCTACAGTGCTGCTGTTATCTCTGTCCTTATTTCTACTGCAAACAAGCAGAAACTTACCTAAAAGCCAGAAAGGGTTATCCAGCCAGATCTCCCAGAAGGCAGAAATCATAGAATTAAAGAGTAATTTCAGCTCTAAGGCTGGAAGAAACCTCAGGAGGTCACCTTGTGCAACCCCCTGTTCAAAGGGGACCAGTTTAGATTAAGTTGCACAAGCCTTCAAGAATTAATTTCCATGTCAGTGGAAATTAATTGACTTCAACAAATTCTGGGAATTTCTACTATGAATCCACAAATCTTTCTGTAACCAGCTGCCACCAAAGATGTTTTTCTTGTTGGTTTTAGTTTGGTTTGTTTTTTTTCCCTAAGACTAATTTTTAGCCTTTATTTGTCTAGCTTTATCACCCTCTCTTTTAACTCTGATTTCTTGTTTTGATGCTGCCTGGCAAAGGCTGTCATCACATAACCCTTTGAATCAGACTGAGCTTCATGAATTTGTTAATGTATGATGTTTTTCATGTTCCAATTTCTTGTGCAACCCTGCTCTGAGCTTTCTCTAATTTATCAACACATGGATTACAAAAAGAACTGCCTAGATAACAAGATCAACTGTCCAGGCTTGGGCAAGAGAGCTGGACAGAATTTTCATAGTTGTAGCACCAAATGCAGAGCTAATGTATGCCTTTTCTCTCTAGCATTCCCTTTTATATTTATCCAAGGGTTTCAATAGCAGTTTTGGAAATGGCATCATGATGGTAGTTCCTATCCAAGTTACCTGCCTGCCATGAACCCAAATTTATTCTTCCCCAGGAGGGCCATCCACCTGCTACAAGAACATTTCTAGGCATAAGACTGCCCATTTAGCGATATTGATCCAGTGATTCCATGAATTTGTTTGTGACTTCCTTGTGAAATTATGAAATTATACTAGGCAGTTCATTCATTACATTATTTAAATATTTTTTGTGGCATATGCAAAATTGGTCAGCAGAGATTTCATGTTTTTCTCAGACTATAAAATTTGATAATTATCTCAGCATCAGAAAAGGGCTTTTAGAGTATCACTAAACAGCAGACCATTGATGATTCTCAATTTGCATCTATATTTCAAGAACTAATATTTGCTGGTATTTTATTTAGTATTTGCAATATTGGTATTTTAATTTTTATCTTTCCTTAATCAAAATGCCAGCAGGTGGTAGATTAAATGTTTTAAAAACTCTGAACTGTATTGCACTCAGCTTAATTTGGTGGTCACGTGTAAATGTCAGAGCTGGGGCTACACATGTGACAGAACTGTCTCTCCACAAACTACCAGTGTGAACTTTCCTTTGAAAACCTGATAAGAAGAGAGTTTTGTCCCCGAGAATTTTTCAGTTGCTCATGATAGAAGCCCTAAAAATGACATGTACAATTATTCTCCAGTTATGACTTTCCACATGGACTGCATTCTTGCACAAATATTAAAAGCTGTACACATTTGAAATACACTGAGGTATTTCACTGCTTCTAAAGAAGGAAAGAAGATAATTTAAATTTTTTTTTTTTTTGGTGTTTGTTTGATGTTTTCCTTAAAAGTTTATCTTAAATGAAGGAAGGGAAATATTTACAATTTCAATGGAACAATGGCCTGGAACTAAGGAAGGGAAAGTTTAGGTTAGGCTGTAGTAAGAAGTTCTTAACTCAAATAGCCTCAGACTCCGAAAGAAGTTTTTTGAGCCAGCATCATGGAAGATTTCCATTAACTGCAGGTGAGACACTCTGGAGAAATACTTTATAAAGAACAAAATCTGGCGAAAGTTGGATACTAGACAATCATCACCTTTTAATATAATCTTTCTTTCTTTATAATTCTTTATCTATAATTTTATTAGTGACACAAAGGAGAGTAAAATTTAAAGCAAATCTTAAAACCTGATATGCTTAGGAGGAATATCCACCACAGCGCAGATCCTACTGACAATGACAGCTCAGCAAAAAAATCCAGATTCAGTTTTTTATTTGTTATGTTCACAACTAAAGAGGAACATTCAGGTACTGGATTGTTGAAAATCTCACCCATGCAGTACAGCCCCTTCAGAGTGCCCTAAGGATACATTGCCCTTTAGAACTGCCAGAGCACCAAAGATTAAACAAAAGTGTAGGGTGAGATTAAAGTGACACTTTCTGTGATTTTTTGAAAAAGAAAAGAGGCAGTACCAGACAAGCCAGGAGTTCTCACTTGACTCTTTCTAATTCTCTGCAAAAAACATCTAAGTGAGAAGTTTAATTCACTTCAGTACTTAGTTCTTTTACCTATTTAAAGATGTAAGGGAAGTTTATTTAACAAAATAATCAAGTTTCCTTTTAAATCAGAATTTAAATATGGTTTGTTGCATGAAACTCAATTTTCCTAGTTGTACCATATACAATAAGCTGGGGGCTAGATAGCACTTGTTCTGAAACAAATCCATTTTATGTGGTGAAAATGCTGCAGATTTATGCTAGAAGAAAAATGTTACTTCTGCTCTGCTTAATGATATCTGAAATTATCAATTTCAGTATCATGAGCATTCATTTAGTCTTTTCTGTCACATTCATATTTAAATTGTTAAATTTAAACAATTTCTCTGGCAGTTCTCTGCCAGAGAAACATCTGTCTGAGCTGAAGGGAAAAAATTACACGTCAGATAACTTTGAGGTATTAAATTAGTTTCTGATTTTAGAAGACAAAGAGTAATGATATTTGGCCTGCTACATGCAGGATCCATTACACACAGTGTCAAAAGTACTTATTCCTTGAAGCTGCAGTGTCTTGGACTGTGACACATGTCCAGGATTGAAGAAAGAGTAAAACTTGTCCCCCTAGTGTACTGTTGTTGTAAAATATTTAGCTCTCTAACCTGCTGGAGTTTGTCTAAGGGTTCATTGTGACCTCTTCTGTATCTTCAGTGTGTTTTTACTGACTGAGAACAATTCCTGGGGAAGGATATGTCTCTTAAACAATTTTCTTATGACTCTAGGTTTCTGGGACGGAACAGATTCCACCTGGGAATATAGTTCCTATAGAATGTAAGATAAGAACTAGATAATATTTTGCTTCTGTTTATAAAAGCTTATAAGAACTATCTTGGCTTTTTTTCATGCTATTAACATCTGGATTTTTGTTATAAAATTTAATTTTAAATCTCTGTATACATAAGAATTTTCCTTATGTATTTCTGAATAGCATTTCCATTGCTTTGGAATACTCAGTTAAAAAAAAGGTCAGATGAGATAGGCAATAATTACTGAAATGATTCATTAATCAATATTTTCTTCTGGGAAATGGTTCTAAAATAACTTATAGTCAGTACTAATCTGGTATTATTATTGTATTGGAGATAAATTGTTTAAATTATATTTCTAGTAAATTATTATGTTGTTCCCGGAGTATCAAAGACAATTTAGTTGTTTTATGCAAATGCATAGAGCACAATGCTGAAAAATATTCTTGACTATTCACTGAGGAGCCTCACTAAACCTTTAAGGGAGGCTGTGAGGAATATGTAAATGAGTGACTACCAAATCAGATGCAAAATTGGAAATTTACAATAGGATATTTAGCCAAAGAAGATTGACTAGAATGGCTACATGTGGCATTAGTATTGTAGAAAATATTTAGCATTTATTTGGAACATAGTCTGTGAGTCTTTGTCTGGGAGCTGTTTGTGTAGGGGATCGTGGAAGAATCTACACTGAGAAACAGATCCCTATGAATCTAAAGGGAGGGTAGAAGGGGTTTGTTCCCTCTCTGGCTGAGGTTGTTTGGCCTAGGAAGGGAGTGATAAGGGGAAATTGGAGTATGTATGCACAGTGTAATACAGCATCCTGGTGTGACAGCCAGCTCCTCACCCCTTCTTAGCAGCCACCTCAGACCACCCTGCTGCACCCACGGCCGCTACTTTGCACCTCAGCCATAGGAGTCGTCTCCTGCAAAGTATGAAGAAAAAAAGTTCTAGCCTAGACCAACAGGTCTCCCATATCCCCAAGCAGTCCATCCACTAAGCTTAGGTATAACTGAGCTGGGAAAACATCACCTTCATGTATATTTAGAAAACATATAGCTTTTTCAGGTAGATTTTGGAAGAGATGAGTCTTGACAGGCTCACCCTCAGACTGGTTCTTCAGCAAGGAGGTTGAAGAACACCTTGCTGGTAAATCCCAGCAGGATGAAGTCATAAGTTAAACAGGAGCTTTTCACAACTGCCATGCACAAAGGTACTTCCAGATATTTCTCCTGGAAGTCTTCCTACAGACTTCACAATCTTACACATGTTGTAGTAAATTGGAATTTTGTGGTTTGCCATTTAGGCATCTAATCCTGTCACTTAAAGTCCTGATTAAACCAACTAAATCTTACTATGAATTTAACACAATACTTAAATACCCTGTGCATGCTGTTGCAGTGAAGAATCTCCTCTGCTTTTCACACACTGAGTTACTATCAGTGTATATCCATCTTTGTATCAGGATCAGGTGATGGAATTTAAGAAGAATAGTATAAAATAAAGAACCTGATGGGCCAGAGATATGTGTCTTGCCTAGAAAGGACATCTACGGGGACGACTTTGAAAACAGGTAATTTGCAGCCTTTCACTTATTATCTGTTAATTGTAGTTTCATAGTAGCATTTATTCAAGCATATCTTGAATTAAAATTATCTAAATCAACTGGCCACTTTCTGGTTGTTCTTTGTGTATTCAGAGCATTGGAATGAGCAAAAATCTATACATGTAGCACTTGATATTATGGCATATAAAAGGTATTTTCTCTGGGTCACAGATATAGAAAACTTATTAAATAAACAACAAGAAAAATTGTAGTGCTATTTATGGTTTTTTTTCTCTCAATATTAATTTGTTCACATTAAAGGGGAATTTATTCCCAGTAATTTACTTGTAGATATAAGATATTAGCTCAGTTTTTAGAGCATGGTACTAATAATACCAAGGTTGCAGGTTTAATCTGCACATGAGCATTCACTTAAGAATTAGGATTCAATTATCCTTTTGGGTCCTTTCCACCTCAGAATATCCTGTGAAATCATGTGAAAATGCCATGTCCTCCCTGGAAGATGGAGAAGATTTGGATTTAGATCTCACAGCAACTCATTCTAGCTACTTGTCTCTATTAGATTATAAATGGGAATTCCAACTACCTCAAATTGTTCTTAGAAGAACATTTTGTCTCAAAACTCTTTCAAATATGCTTGCACCTTGTACCATTTCTACAAGCAGCATTTTTCCTTAAACCACCTGAAATTTCTGTCTTCACACACAGGAAAATGGCACGTGAAGGATTTGGCATGGTCACCTTCAGAACAAGAAAGTGCCTGCTCATTTTGCCCTCTAAGCTCACCCTAGGTAGCACAATTTAGCTCACTGTGTGTGTGTACAGACTCTGAGCTCCATCTTGGATGTGTTTCAGATGAACTCACATGGAATCCCAAGCAATCTTTCTGGCAGATTTTTCAGTGAAGAATCAAATCTATCATATGAGGGGAGGACATTTTCAAAGCTGAGGGTGCATTTCAACAAACAAGGTTGAAAGCCTTGCCCTCAAAGTTGAGCCTTCATTTTTCAGCCTCATGATAGGGAGTTTTTGATTTAGAAGAAACTCTGCATGCTAACTCCTTAGAGAAGAATAACTGAAATTTCCTTGGTTCGTATGTTACCTAACAATCCTTTGTCTGAAATGGTGCTACACTGTCGGATACTGCACCAAATCCTTGGCTATTATAAATCATTCTTATAAAATTCATCTTTTTTGCCATTTGAAGTTCTGACTTTTCTGATTATGCTCTCTTCCTATTTAAGGTTAAGAAAATCTCTCCAAGCTATACAGCCCAAATTTATATCTTTTGAAAACAAAGCTGATAAACTCCGCCTGTTAGACCAACAAGGCAAAGAACATGGTTGTTCCAACATGGCTGGAAAAGAAATACAAGTATTTTTAATGACTTATTAAACACATCCCAGGGTAGCTGGTTTACAGGCTTTTCTCTTAACCAGTTCCATGAGTATCTGAATAAAAACTGGTTTACACTTCTTAGAGGCAAGGAGAACATATCTAAAGAAACATTCAACCTGAGCATGGTATAGGTCATATCATGAGAGAGCAAGCAACAAATTCCTTAGAGAATTCTCCTTCTCAGCTGGTGTTTATGGCTAAACTGAAATGAATATGATGCAGAAGTGTAATACAAAGAGTAACTGTGTGAAAATAGAGAAGCATGTGTGACAGATTGCACATAACCCTGTAAAAAAGACACAGATTGAATGTGATTTTTAATCACTTCCCTGTGAACCTGCTGAACCCACTAGGGTTGCCTGGGGATAAGTGAAATACAAACCTGATCCATTTGGTTTGCTACAGACTCTGGCAGTCTAAATGTAATTTCAACCAAATCAGAACAGCAGCAGTTTATCCTTAGCCAGCACAGATGCAAGAGATGACTCAAGAAGAAATGAACCAGTAACACATTTTGGAGTAAGAGGATATCTCTGGGCGTTTTTGAATTCCAAAACAAAAAGGAATGTAATTTGCTCCCCATTTTGTAGCAGCTGAGGGCTATTTTCCATGTGAAAACAGTAGCTGTAAAAGGGTCATCTTGCTACATTATGCATTTCCTTTCTTTGCTGCAGCAATCACTCATCTGGCTCTTAACACTGGAAATTCAAGTTCCAGTTTCTTGAGATATTCTACTGTTCTGTTGGAGCCAAAGAGCAGCCTTGATGCCTATTTGCTGGTAATGAAGTTCCTTTAACTGGGAAACAGGTTCTGCTCTGAAAGAACAACTGGGACAAACACTGGATTGTACCCTTCCACATGCTGGGCCTCTGTTCTCTGTGGCTCCAAGGCAGAAACACAAAGGAAGAGGCAAAAAGGGCCTGGACAGGGCCTGAGGAATTCTTTCAGCTAGATCTACCAGCTCCCATACTTCATATGCTTCTAATCAGCAAATATACTTTCACAAGCTGATGATAGCCCATTAGAAATTAAGCAATCTGGAATTAGTGCTGGCTTTAAACCAAAATGGTTGCTGTGGATATAACAAGAAAACTGCTGAACTACTGCCAGCTCATGTGCTTTATGCTGAATTTACCTGGCTGGCAGGCACATGCAGAGAAAGAAACTTGTTGTTGCTTATCAAGAAGGTGAGAGCACTGCCACTGCTGGCATGAAGGTGAGAGGATAGAAACATGGCAAGATTTGAAATGCAGCTGCTGAGCTTTAAGAACAGAAATGGTTGCCTGAAAGCAGATCAATTGACAAGTTGATCTATTGTTTAAAGTGACAGAAAGTACTGTTCAAACAGGATTCAGAAATATTTCTTCCTGTTTTTAGGCAAAGCATAATAATTGCTGTAGTTCTCAGTTTGGAAGAAATGGCTAATTCTTTGGAAGACTCATATGATGTATGTCATATCTGATTTTTAGTTCAATCCAGTGCAAATAAATCAATTCCAAAATACTGGTATTGGATCTCCTTCCACATATTTTATTAAAATAGAGATTCTTTGAAAGATTTTATTTTTTGAGAAAAATAATTTAATGAGTTTCACCAGAACTTGAAATACCTTTTAAAAAGAGTGTAGAAATATACCTATGACATTTTTCATATTTTTTCTCTCACTTGGCTCTTTTTTAAATTAGCACGTATTTGACTAGATATCAAAGTAGAAGGGCAGTGCCTAATATGACTCCCACTTTTGTCATCACAGACTGTAATGTAAACTTGCATATTACAGGGATGAACAAAGGGTTGAGGCTTAAAAAGAAAAGCTGAAAGATTTTTAGAAGGTGGTAATCAACTGAATTTGTGCTTTCTGTTTTCTTTTGAATCTAGGAAAGAGAAAAGCAAATTTTTTTCTCCAGGTTTGTTATGACATCCATGTAAGTTGGGTTAATTCCTCTGATTTTGGAGTATCTATAAGGTACCTAAGTTACCAGCTCATTTGCTCCTGATTCTGTCTACATTTAATAGGTAGATGACTGGAAATTTTCAAAGGTGATTTTGACTTAAAGGTGGCTGACTAATTTACAGTGCCTTTCCCTCCACTGATCAGAAAACAGGCAGAGGAAAAAGGTGTCTTTAGTAGTGGGCCACTCAAACAAGCACTTACAGTTAAATGGAATCAATCCAGGCATATAGGGTTTTGTTTTACACTGAACCTATCTCCCCCACACTTCTTTTCTGTATACAGCTTCTGTTTTAAACTACACTTAGTAAAGATACATGTCTTAGGACTGCCAGCCTTAAATTTCACTGCCAATTTATTGAAGCATAGCTTTTGGTTTTCTCAGTGTTCCTTCAGGCAGTGACACTTAAACTGAAAATGCACATTTTCACCTGGATGTTCAAAATTTGTACACACATTTTATAAACAAAACTTATACATGAAAATCAAATTTCCTCATGTAACTAAATTTCAACAATCCATTGAAACTTAGATCTGTCCAAGGTACATATGTAAATCTGAGGTCCCCTTATAAGCTATGTTACTTGTTCAAAAAATACTTGTTATCAAAAAAAAAGCTGTAAAAGAAATTTTGAAGTGGATTATCTTGTCCACTTAAAAATATTCCTAGAGCTATTTTTTTCTGAATGCTTGCCTAATTAATGTAACAGGTTCAATAATTCTTCCTGTTTGTCCAGGATGATAAAGCATGTGTTAATGGGTGGAACATAAAATGTAAATCATGATACTCCATTCTGCTCTCTAGTGTCTCATAAAATTTCTATCATCTGAAGCAAATTACTTCAAAATGTGTTAGACTTGTAAAGGTGAACTCCATAAACTAAGCTTTTACAACTCAATTTTCATAAAAAGAGGCCAAGAAAGAGAAGTCATTGCACATTGGTCAGTGGACATCTTGAGCTATATTCCTTCAAACAAACCACCCCATTCTTGTGTTTTGAGGACCTAAGCTGTTCTCTCCCCACATATTTCCACAACTGTAGCTTAATATTTCAGCTGATTTTAAGGTAAAATTTGTCCCTTTCTTCTTCTTGGGCTATGCCTTTTGCAGTGAGCACTAGCTACTCGTGGTTCTGCAAATCTAATCTGCAGCTCTGGGTACCTTTGAACAGGACTACACAGTCACCAAGCAGCTCTCTAAACAAAAGGGGATTATTCTCTGCACAGAAAGCTGAAATAAGATACCAAGCAAAGCTCTATTTTACCCTAAAGCCCTTCTAATGCTTGGAGTGGAGTAGAGCCTGCCTAGTTTAGAAGAGTTTTGTAGGTCATCCTGACCCATGCCTGATCATTTGACCTCCCACATCTTCTGAATTTGAGGTGGGGAGGAAGACAAAGGCAGAAGTACACCTTTAAGTGCTTACCAGGTTTGAATGAAGGCAAATTTTCATGCAACCCCAGTCTTTCACCTTGGCTTAGTAGATGGAAACCAAACTCTTTTCACACTTTGGTTCTCCCCTACATAAATATTCAAAATATTTAATTTTCCAGGAGTTCTTTAATCCAAATTTACAGGTCTTGACTTTTCTTTTTTGAAAAGAGGGGGACATCTGGATGCAAAATCATAAAAAGTTAGTAGTTTTAGTATCTTTCCCACTCTTAAATATTAGATGATATTTGGCTCTCCCCTCCTTGTCCACACCAGTCCCATACACCTGAGCAACTGACACATTCCACAATGCCAGGAAAATACAGCAACTTGCTGTATTTTGTTATGACATCCATCATAACCCCAGATTCCTGTTTATCATTACTCTACACTAGATCCTTAACAAATAAAAAGGAAAACATCCTGTCTCTAGGAGTTTTGCAACATAAAAACATCAGGAAGAGTCCAAGAG